TGATGAATTTTCTCCTAGGATCAAAATCTTAGTCTGATGAATCTTTCTCCTAAGATAGAAGACCTAGTCTGATGAACTTTCTTCTAGGATCAAAATCTTAGTCGGATGAATCTTTCTCCTAAGATAATAAATTAGAAGACCTAGGCTGATGACTTTTCTCCTAGGATCAAAATCTTAGTCGGATGAATCTTTCTCCTAAGATAGAAGACCTAGTCTGATGAACTTTCTCCTATGATCAAAACTTTAGTCTGATGAATTTTTCTCCTAAGATAGAAAACCTAGTCTGATGAATTTTCTCCTAGGATCAAAATCTTAGTCTGATGAATCTTTCTCCTAAGATAACAAAAGGAGGACCTAGTCTGATGAACTTTCTCCTATGATCAAAACTTTAGTCTGATGAATTTTTCTCCTAAGATAGGAGACCTAGTCTGATGAATTTTCTCATAGGATACAAAATCTTAGTATGAAGAATCTTTCTCCTAAGATATGAAAACCTAGTCTGATGAACTTTCTCCTAGGATAAACATCTTAGTCGGATGAATCTTTCTCCTAAGATACCAAAAAAAGAAGAAGAAAAGGGACCTAGTCTGATGAACTTTCTTCTAGGATTAAAATCTTAGTCTGATGAATCCTTCTCCTAAGATAGAAAACATAGTCCGGTGAATTTTCTCTTAGGATAATAATTTTTTTTAAAAAAAGGGAAGTCTGAATTTGAAAAAAAAAAGGAAAAAAAGAAGGAAGTCTGGATTTGAAAAAAAGGGTCAATTTTTAGTTTTCTTAAAATCAGGGGTCCCGCCTGGAGAATAGGTTCAGTCTTAACTTTAGTCAAACTTAGTTTATAGTTTATTGCAAGCTCAATCAATTTTAGAAGATGTACATCCTAGTCGAGTCATTAATTTTACTCTCATCATTGCATCATCCATCAGTAGCGTAGGTGATTTATAGTTTTGCTAACAACTCACAAATCTTCCTAGTGTAAACTGGGGTAGAAAAATTTCTTTTGTTTTGTCTGTTTTGTTGTAGAATCAGGCGCCCACCTAGAGAACAGGGGAAAACAGCTCAAGTTTCAAGGGAAAGCAGTTTCAAAGGAAGACGATTCAAGTTTCAAGGGAAAATGGTTCAAGGTGCAAGGGAAAACGGTTTCAAGTAACAAGAGAAAACAGTTCAAGTTTCAATGAAAAGCAGTTTCGAAGGAAGACAGTTCAAGTTTCAAGGGAAAACAGTTCGAGTTTCAAGGGAAAATGGTTTTAGTTTCAAAGGAAGACAGGTCAAGTTCAGCAATCAGGTGCCCACCTGGAGAACAAGGGAAATCATTTCAGAATCCGATTCAAGTTGGAAGTAGCAGAAGCTCGCCTCAAAAATGCGGGTCGATAGGGGTCCGAGATAACAAAAAAGAAGCCTCAATCAAGAATAAAAGAAAAAAAGAAAAAAAAGTGAATCCAAAGTGCAGAAGCGGAGAAAAGATGTGGACTGCTCAAGACATAATTGAAGTCACAAGCTCTGCATGTCCCGTCTTGATCTGAAAAAGTTTGAACCAACATCTGCAGCGAACAAGCATCAAGATTCATATCAGAGTCCGTATGAAGAACCAACCAAGACTCAAGATCAAGCTTCAGAAGACTCATAGATTAGAATCTTGTAACTCGTAGCTGATAGACTTAGTTAGTCTTTTTCATTCTTGATTTTTGATGTAATAACGGAATCGCGAACCAGAATTTTGATGGAATGACACCTTGACCGGCTCTCCACCTCAGTACTCCATCATCTCACTCACTTATGAACTACATGTGGCCTGATTCCTTTATAGCCAAGGATATGTAAGCAGCTCAGATACCAGGGCTCGGTCACATTCCCCTTTTCTCTTAGTTTTGGTCTCCTAAATAAGGGTCGGGTCAAAAAACTTGTCTAGTCGTTCTTTCTATGAAAATACTTCGTATTTCCAGTCAAAGAGAGGCAGTTGTAGACATGTGATTTTTGACCCTCCCCAAGATTTTTTATATTTTAGCATGTAAATATTTAATTTAGGCCTAATATCGTTATTTCAACTAATTTTTACTCTGTTACTTTATTTTATTAAAAGAAAATAAAAATTACAAAAAAATAATTTCATTAAGGTTTTGTAGTCATTTTTAATCTTGAAAAAATACCAAAAAATAGTTTTGTTTTAACGGTCAGTCTTATGTTAATAATTATTTTTACTTAAGTAGGGCTAATTAATATTTTTGGTAATATTTCTATATGGATAGATTTTTACTTAATTAAGCTAATTTTAAGCAAAACTAATCACAAAGGCCCAAGTTTCTAGCTCATTCCTTGAGCCCAATACCCTTAAACCCAAATAATAACCTAGACCTAACCTATAGAAACACTAGATCCCTACAATCCTATCAGCGAAAAATACAACAAAAAGAAAGCATCCGTCGTTTTCTATCAAATCAGACCCCTAAGGCATCAAAAACAGAAATCAGCGAAATAATACATAAAGATAGACCTAGGAGCTAAGATCGGCGGCGTTTTTTCAATGATGGACCCCTCCCATGATGTCTTCTTCAACGCAAGACCTAAAGATCTTTCTTATTTGAAGCAAAAAACCAATAGCTTCTTCTTGGCCATTTGCGATGGTTTCAGCTGAAGCCTAAACGACGACCCCATGAGCTCTGGTTCTTGAACAAAATCCCAGAGCTTTAAGCATCAGTCTCATAGATCTAGGGCATCAGCGGCTTCTTCTTCCTCGACTGAACTCCATCACCACCGTAAATGGCCTGAAGCCGGCGACGGAGGTTTGTTTCGTCAATGGTGTTTGTTTAAAGATCGTGGAGAGTTCATTTGAGGTTGTCGACTGAGTTTCAAGTTCATCGTTCCATTTAGTGTAACGTTTCTGTTGAGATCGAGTCCTGTTATAGCCCGTTCGTAGGTCACTAGCTCTATTCATTGGGTCTGTTCAGTTCCATTCGAGATTCCGGCGAGGTTTCGGCGCTGCTACATTTTCTGTTCGAGTCCGTGTCTGATTGGCCGAGCTTCGAAACAGTATTGTAAAGGTGCACTTTTCAAATTCTATCTTGTTTCATCTCATTGTTTTAGATTGGGGAAGGAATTAAATTGGCCTGGTGTTATGTTGGTTTGATTGTATTTGCATGTGTTAGTTCCATTAATCTGTTAAGTGTCTTAATATGGCTCATTTTGTTTTCATCAATATCTAAGACATTTGATTTGAGTTTGTTTATAAGTAGGAGGAAGATATATTGTGATTGTTGAGGTACTGGAACATAATATCAATTTGATAATTACAAAGTCAATTTAGTAGCAAAAGTGTCCGTTTGGGATTTAAAGTATTAATAGAATTACTTATATGTGTTCTTGAACATAATTATGAATTCTAAAAATAATTCGGAGTATGTGTTCGCGCAACTTCAAATAAACTTTCTTAGTAATAAGATGGTTGTTAATATGCCACTAATTTAATTTAATTTAATTTATATAGTTTGAGGTGTGCCATCTATAATTAAATCATCTATGACCCTCACACATGTTATAATTTAGATATTGAACATGAACTTCGTAGTTCGCTTTAGGCGCGTTAATCATATAATCATCATGACTACTACTAAAATCCGGGGGTACATTTCATGTGGCCCGGTTTTTAACAAGGTTAAATAAAGCGTGTTGTGAACCGCGGGTGCACTTCATGTAGCGTGGTTTACGATGAGTGTTAAGTAACCTTGAAATTTCCTGAAGCATTAAAAAGTGGTTTTAAAGTTAAAATGCCTGTAGGTTTAAAATGTATTTTAAAATCAGATAAATAGGCCAATAATAACAGTTGAGCGACCGTGATCGAACCATGAAACTCGGGAATGCCTAAAACCTTCTCCCGGGTTAACAGAATTCCTTACCCGGATTTCTGTGTTCGCGAACTGTAATACAGAGTCAATCTTTTCCTCGATTCGGGATTTGAACTGGTGACTTGGGACACTAATAAACTATCCCAGGTGGCAACTCTGTTTTAATTGAAATAAATCTCGTTTCGATTGTTACTTTAAGTTAGAAAAAACTCCCTTGCACTACCCTTCCGGGGGATGTAGTGAAAAAGGAGGTGTGACAGAAGGGTGATGGTAGACAGCGATTAACATTTCAGGGAGTCAATAACTTCACGCAAAGGGGCAGGGGATTGGGAATCCATTGCAAGGAGCCTGTACACTTAGGCATGGATTAATTTTCGCATACACAGCAATAGGAAGTGCTGGCATGCCTATAAATCAACCAGAACACACAACATATAAGAGAAACATGGAGGTTATGATCCTAAGAGGATCAAGATTGGGTCATGCACAGCAATTTCCAATGTTGTCATGCCCCAAACCAACCACAAGTATTAAACACATTGGGGTAGGGATTTGGGATTCACAGGTCATAATACATTGATTCAGAACAAGAGAAAGGAAATTACGGCATGCTAAATAATGGTACTAGGTTAAATATAAATAGTAGGCATACAAGAATGCAAGAAACAGTGGATAAGCATGTTATTGTTGGTGCAGAAAACTTAATTAGAACATACCGGTAAGAAATGCAAATGCAGAAAATAAGCAAGTTTCCCCACAGCCTAGATTTGGCTTTCAACCGGCTAGGTAAGGCAGCAATATAGTAGTAACAGAGAAGAGAGAGAGGTTTAGTGTAGTGTGTGTTTGAACTCAAGTGTTTATGCCTTGTGTTCGTGTGTGTTTGAAAGAGAAGAAGTACAAGGTATTTATAGTTTTTGAAAACGAGTAAGAGAGAAGTAATAAGCTACAAACATGGAAACAATCATGATTCGTAATCAATTATACAAGTGATTCCCTTTAATTAAGGGATCACTTGCTTAACGAGCATTGACAGGTTCAAAACAAGGAAAGAAATCAATTTGTCAGCAGGGTGACAGTTGTCATAAAAGAAGTAGTAAAACATTAAGCAAACAATAGAGTCTAGGTACAAAAATACTCTAATTTTGGAAAGGATTCAATAAGGCAAAATAGGAAAAGAAATCAGTTAACCTTAACAGGCGGGTGAAATTAGAATTTCACAAAAGAAAAGTTTGAAACCAGTCACAAGTTTGAAAATCAGTCAAAGAAGGAGACTCGACATATAAATAGGGTGCATAAACATTATACATGTGAGGCAAAACCTATTGGAAAAAGGAAAATAGCATACAGTAGTAGCACAAAAAGAAAATTCAATGGATAGCAACACTCGAAGCATGATAGTCAATTGAATCAGTAGTGAAGAAACATAGAATATCAAAAGCATGCGAAGGTCTCGCAGTAGCCGGTGAGGAAAACCCATTTTGAAAAATTAGGGTTTCGAGCATACTTGAGTTCTAGAGGAAATAGGAACCCCAAATCAAAAGGATCACACAAAGGAATAGAGGTTTTGAAATAAAGAACTTCAAATCGAGCCTTGTACTTAAATTAACAGTCTCAGATCCAAAGCAATAGGGTTTTCAACAATAGAAGAATTTTAAAAGATGGATAAACAAACAAATCGGATAAAACTCAAGCGAACCAGCATTAGTCTAATAAACAGTTCAAAAAGAAATAAGACTTTTAACATACAAACTCAAGCAGAAGAATAATATGAGCAAACACAGCAAAACATGTCAAAAATCAAAGAAAAGTTTTTGAAATAACTTAATAGAACCCTAATTGAAAAGATAAGGAGTTTTGAAAGCAGAGTTTTAAAAGAAATTTCGAGAAAAACGCTTAAAAGTTCAGAGCAAACATAGATCTGAAATGGATCTAAGAGAAATCGAAAGAACCTTAGAGGTTAGGGTTTAAAAAAAACCCAAATAATGAGAAAAGCTTTGAAAACCCTCGATCTAAGTAGGAGAGTCAAAAGTCTGACTCGAATAGCATGGCCGGTCGGAGAAAGGTCAGAGACGACCGAAAAACAGTCATCGAGCAAAGACTGGACAAAGCCCCTTCACGATCTGGTCATGAGACCACAGAGTCGAACACGTAGAAGCCATGAGAGGTGGATACGTGTCTCCGATGACCTCGGAAGCCATAGATTTGGGAGGTATTAGGGTTGTAGTTTGATGGCGGCGGCTAGGGTTTGAGAAGATTTGAGAGAGGATTGAGAGAGAATGGGGATTCAGAGGCGGCGGAATTTGGAAATGAGTCTAGGGTTGGGGTCGTTGGAATTAAAAAAGGAAAGGAATCGTGAAGATCAACGGCCAGGATTTAATGGGTCTTGAATCAGGTAGGCAGATTTAGGGCTTGGGTCGGTTCAGATGGCAATTGGGCTGGGTAATTGGGTTTAAATTGGGGGTCCAATTCAGACTGTAATTGAAATGCAATTGGGGCTAGATTTTAAATAGCCTCTTTTCCCTTATTTATTTTATAAAAATAGCAAATTAATTTTTGAAAACAAATTGAAGGTACTAAAATGATTTATAATACATAATTATTAATTTAAAAATACTGAACTTAATTTTTATAAATATAAACGCAATTAAATCTAAAAGAGGCTAATATTGCAATTATATGCAATTTAGATTTAAAAATACTAAATGACTTTGTAAATATATGAAAAAATTATATTAGCTATATTTTAGTATGAATATGAGAATCTAATAAATGAATCATCAAAAATAATAAGTTTGGAAATTATTATTGGATTTTAGGGATGAAAATAAGGAAATAAATTGATTTAAAACCTTTTAAAAATTAAGGAAAAATAATAAAACAATTGGACGTACTTATATATGCATACATATGCTATTTTGAAATTATTTTTCATATTAGAAAATATATATACGGAAAAATTGGGTATCAACATCGGGGTCTCACTCTGCCACCTGATGCGTCTCTTAGCCCCTAGTTTCTATAGGGGCGATGTTGCACCTTCGCCACCGAGAAGTAAATGACTGGTGGTGAAGATGGATGATAAGGCAAATCGTCAGTTCTGTCTCAATTACTTTTTCGTCAAAACCGAGGACGTGGTGGCCAACGCGAGCGAATTCCCTGAGACTTGGAATTATGCCCGTAAGTATCTCTTTTTTGTCAAGCGTTTGTTTCGCCTGTTTTAGTCATAGTTTGACATTCTATCCCTTCTTCGTGCAGCCAATACTACGCCCCCTCCTTTGGTCGGGGACATTCATGATTGAGTTAGCCAGTTTTTGCCTCACACAATGAGGATTCGTGAATGGCCAGCCTTTCTCAAGAGGTTCGGGCCTACGTCTTCCATGACCGGTGAGTTCATCTATTTTTTATCTATACTGTTTTGACCTCATGCTTGCTTGCTTGTTGTAGTTTTGTATAGGAAGTGAATTTTTTAATCTTTCTTTTTCAACCCGAGGATCTTCGAGGAGACAAAGGGCTCCTCCTCCTGCATTTCGTAAGAGGAAGGCTGCTTTTTCTTTGGAGTTTGTTCATGTTGTGACTGAGACCAGGCCTTCCAGGTTATCTGCTTCTGTTCCTTCTTCTACTGCAGCTAGATCTGCTCATTCGTCGACTATATCTACAACAGAACTCCCGACTTCCCCTTTGTATCATCTAGTAGACAAAGAAGAGGAGTCATCGCCGAACGAAGAGGGTTTGGTTTCCCGCAAAAGGAGATCGGTGAATGCCGGTGATGGAGTTGTCCGGGAAGTGGATTCAGTAAAGGGTGATCGTGAAACGGTAACCATAGTGCTTGAAGATGATGTTAAGTTGCCATTTGAGATTTCACCATAAACTGAGGCCACTGAGGGCGTATCCTTTCCTAATGCCGAGAGTGGAGCTGGAGGTCCATCTATGGGAGTTTTAAGCCTCTACGGTGAGATGATCCATCGTCCTCATAACCGGCTAATGTTTCTTCTTTGCCAGACGATGGAAGAGGTAAGGGCATCACTGAGGATGGTTATGAAACGGGCTCCGATCTTGATGCCTACGAGGTGAGTATGATGGGAGAAGGGTTTACCCAGCTTGAAGTGAGATTGAAGGGGTCCACGCGGACCATTTCGATTCTCATGGATTGAGATTTACTAGTGAATACGGAGAACGTAGTTCCTTCCCTAGGTCCCCTCTACTCTAACGTGGATGGTAAAACTCTTGAAAAACTGGACGATGTTACCCTATCAAGGCGCATAGCCAACCTCGCCCTCCGAGTAAGCTTTTCGACTTTTATTTCTTAAGTTCAATGCTTTGTGCTTCATTCTTACTTTTTGTTATCTTTTTGTTCTTTTTTTTCTTTTTGAGAATGTGGTTTTGGAAATTGAGAGCGGTCAACAAGAAGAGAGGCATAAGGCTATTTTTAGAAGATGGAGCAAAAATGTCGTGAGTACCGTAACAGTCATTAGAAAATGTAGCGTTCTTGAGGGGTCGTTAAAGGATAAAGAAAAAAAACTTGAGGTGAGCAAGGGGGGTCAAGGTCTAATGTGCCGATCTTCAAGCCCAAATTGTCTCGTTGCGCGCCAAGCTCGAGGAGTGTCAAATTAAATCGGACGCTCTGAGTGGTGAGATCACTGAGAAGGCAGCAGATTTAGAGAATGCGAAGTTGGACCGATTGGGGGTTGCGAGGAAAGTGGATGTTTTGCAGGTCGTGATCTGCATCCTTTGTTCTAAGCGAGAGAGCGCTCTGGAGACATTCAGGCTCATAGAGGGGCTGCTTGATGAACAGATAGGGGAGCTGGAAAAAGAGGCTTCAGGTCTTTGTGATCGAGTTGCTACTCTCGAGCCTAAAAAGGCACAATTATTGGCCCAGCCGTCTTTTTCCCGTACTTATTTTTTCCTGATGTTCTACGGTATTTGTACGAGGAATGGATTCACGTCGAGGCCCAGCTGGATATATTTAGAGATTTGTTAAGGGAAGGGATTGTTTCAAAGGTCGACTTCAAAAATGCTCGTGTCAAGGCATGTAGAGATGGGGTTGCTTATGGTTATGATCCCGCTACACCGGAGGTTGGTGATGACGAGGAGGGTGCGGACATGGATCATATTGAAGAGGATGCTTGATATGAGGATGAGTATCCCGATGGCTATGGTGATGGCAAAGCGGCAGATGGATATGGCCTAGGTGATCAAGCTGATGGCGCTGCAGGGCCCGACGACGATTAGTTATTTTTCCTTCTTTTTTGTTCAGCCGCAGACTTGTGCATTTTTTGTGGGCGGCCTTTCGAGCCTTTGTATAAAATATTCTAAGTATGAAATGCTAGTTCTGTTACTCGTACCTGATTATTTTTCTTCTGTTTAAGTTTGTATGCTTTTTTGATTTTGTTGTGTGGTTGCCTTAGTCATAATAACTTAGGTCAAGTAGGTTGAACGAGGTTGAAACAAAACCATGGTCGAGGGCCAGTAGGTGTTGGTTCGAACAAGGTCAAATATATCCATGTTTATTTATGGTTAAGTGCCGATTAGGTGTTGATTCAAATGAGATCGAATATAACCTATATTTAGTTATGGCCGAGGGCCAAATAGGTGTTGATTCGGACGAGGTCGAATATAACCTATATTTAGTTATGGTCGAGGGTCAATTAGGTGTTGATTCGAATGAGGTCAAATGTAACATTTATTTAGTGATGGCCGAGGGCCAATTAGGTGTTGATTCGAATGAGGTCGAATGTAACCTATATTTAGTTATGACCGAGAGCCAATTAGGTGTTAAGGCGACGTTGCTTTGGCTGTACGTATGGCAAAAATATGGGTAAACTTCATGCATTTGTGCTTTGTTCATACACTTGGAGAAATTTACATATTTTTCGGGCTGGCATGCCAGTCCCAGTCTATCTAGTGTTGGCTGGTATTCCAGTCCCAATCTATCTAGTCCCTTCATTGGTTGTCCTGGAGAAGTACATTGAGAGGTTGAGCAATGAACTAGTCGTCCTATGCCTCTATCTGTTCACACTTCAACTTGAAGTGTCCCTTTCGTCGCCTCATTAAAAACCTCCTTGAGAAAACCTAGTTGGGACAAAACTCAAGTGAGGAAAAAAGAGTACGACTTGGAGGACATTTTTTCTTAAAAGTTGAAGTACTTGAGGTGGGTGATATTCCAGTTGTTTGGTAGTAGTATTCCTTCCATTGTTTCTAGTTGGAATAATCCTTTGTTTGTTGTTGCCATGATTTGTATGGGTCATCCCAATTCATTCCCAGTTTACCTTCCCATGGGTCTTTTCTTGCTTGTTTTTTAGCTTTGAGCACGTAGTCCCCGACTTTGAGTGGTCTGACCTTTGCCTTTTTGTTGCGATAGTGTTCTACCTGTTGTTTTTGGGCGATCATCCTTATGTAGGCCATATCCCTTTGTTCTTCAGCTTTATCGAGCTCTTGCCTCCTGCTTTCGTCGTTCCTCGGCCCGCTCTCGTGGGAGTATCAAAGACTGGGCTCTCCGAATTCGATCATTATTACAACATCAGTCCCATAGACTAATGAGTAAGGCATCTCTTCTATGCTCGACTTCGGCGTTGTTCCGTAGGCCCAAAGTACTTCTGGTAGTAATCCTAGCCATAATCCGTTGGCGTCTTTGAGTTTTTTCTTCATGATGTTCAGTATCAATTTGTTGGAGGACTCTGCTTGCCCATTACCCGTGGGGTGATACGGCGTTGAGAGTATTCTTTTGATATGCCATTTCTCAAAAAATTGGTGACCTTTTTTCCTGTAAATTGGGGTCTGTTGTCGCAACTAATCTCTTTGGGTAGGCCGAAAAGACATACATTTCTTTTCCATATGAAGGCGATCACTTCTTGTTCCCATATTTGGGTGAATGCTCCTGCTTCTACCCATTTATAAAAATAGTCAATTAAAAGAAAAGAAATCGTACGTTACCTCGTCCCGCTGGGGGGGGGCCCGATGTCCATTCCCCATTTGATGAACGACCAAGAGGAAGTGACTGAGTGGAGGTGCTCGCCTACTTGGTGGATCATTGGGGCATACTTTTGGCATTACTAGCATTTTTTTACGAAATCTGTGGCCTTTTTTTCATGGTGGGCCAGTAATATTCTGCCCGTATGAGGCATCTGACCAAAGCTCGATTGTTGAAATAAGCTCCACAATGACCTTCGTAGACTTCTTCAAGGACGCGCCTCGTCTTATTGGGGCCTAAGCATTTCTCCAGGGGCCGCCATACATCCTCTTGTATAGGTCGTTATGAATGATGATGTATCTGGCTGCTTGTATTCGAAGTATTTTGGTTTCTTTCTCATCATCTGGGAGTATGTCATCTTGTAAATATGTAATAATACGATTGCCCCAGTCCCAAGTCAAGTTTATGGTTCTTACCTCGATTTGATCTATTGATGAGTTGAGGAGGTAAACCACATTTTTTTCTCTGGTTGTAATGTTTTTGGTGGCTGCTGCTAATTTGGTGAGGCCGTCCGCTTCAGTGTTCTGTGCTCGGGGGATCTGGTCGAGCTGACATTTGTCAAACTCGGGCAGTAGTTTATAGATCTCGGTCAGGTATTTTTGTAACCTTTGCTCTTTTATCTAGAAAGTCCCTGTGACTTGGTTGACAACGAGTTGAGAATCACAACGTAGTCTTACATGTCTTGCCTCGTATTTGAGTGCTAGCTTTAACCCTACAATTACAGCCTCATACTCGGCCTCGTTGTTAGTCATTTTCGAGCACCTTATGGACTGACAAATCACTTCGTCGGTCAAAACTTCGAGTACGAGTCCCAATCCGGACCCTGATGCATTAGATGCAGTCGGTGTATAGGACCCAAAGGTCCTGTGTTTGGGGAGAAGTGGGGACGACTCTTTTTCGACTTCGGACATTATCTTTGGGCTAAGTTGACGACAAAGTCAACAACAACTTGTGACTTTATCAATGTTCGCAGTCGATATGTGATATTGTGCTCGCTTCATTCTATGGCCTATTTGGCCAACCTGCCCGATAGCTCGGGTTTATGCAAAATACTTCTTAAGGGGAAAGTCATGACAACCGAGATGGGTGACACTGGAAATAGGGTCTAAGCTTTTGTAAAGCTACGACCAAGGCCAGAGCCAAATTTTAGAGGTGAGGGTACATCGTCTCAGTGTAGACTAGTGTTTTGCTAATGTAATAGATGGGAGACTGCATACTTTTATTTTCTCAGACCAGAACTTCGCTCAGATACATCAAGGTAGACGAGGAGGCGCTCCCCTGGTTCTGGTTTTGAAGGCAATGGTGGTGACGACAAAGTAAGCCTTCAACTCCTTCAGGGCTTGGGCATACTCAGAGGTCCATTGGAGGTCATTATCCTTTTTTAGTACGCCGAAGAATTTGTTGCACCTATCAGATG